TTTTTTTTCGTTTATTATAAGCCCCTTTACCATTTCCACTTATAAATGTCCAGGTAACAATTTTCTTTTTTTTCCCTCTAAATGAGTTATTTTGATCGGTCTAGAAAAACTGTCGTTGTTTTATATTTAAATAGTTAAGTCGGCTGGCTACCTTATGAAATTTGTTTTTATATTCTTTCATATTTTTTAATATTCTTAAACCAAGTAGGAACAATTATTAGGTAAATATCACTTTGTTTTTTTTCTCTGTTACTTCATTTTATTGCACATCCAATTTTTAAAGTTCTGATATTATTATTAATAATATAATTTTTTAATTTATGGTTAGAGTAGGGCTATTGGCGAAGATCTCCATAATAAAATCCGAATGAAAATCCTGCTCGTGAACATCAGTTTTTTTAAAATTTTGTAAATGCAGCTAAAAATTTCCAGATGCATTGTCTTTTGACATTGAAGATTAAAAAATTTTTGCATTGGGCGCTTTTTTCTTTCCTGCCCAACGCTAATAAAAAAGTCAGGGACCTCACCTATTCACAATGTCACGAGCCGCCACTGCTTCAACTTGGTATTACATAACACATGTTTAAACTATAATCTAGTTTTTTTTTTAAATAATTTGAAAACTTTAAAAGTTGTATGGTATCTTAACAATCGACAAATACGTGGGCCATTATACTATTGACGATAATAATGACAGAATTAACAGATGCCTACGTTACCTAAAACCTCGTCACATTTTTCATTCTCCAACTTCTTGGAACCAGACGGACAGGGTATTGTTGGATTATTACCGCTAGCCAGCAAAATGTCGCCTCCCGTGGCGTGTGTGATATTTTTAAAGTAATCTTCGTAGGTTATCTGCTTAAACTGTCCAAAATCGCGCAAAATGAGACAAACTACGAATAATATTTTGTAACACTGCCACATTGTATTTATTACTAGGACAGCCTTTCGGGAAGCATACAATACAAATATATCGATACACGTTGTTTCTTAGCGTTGGGCAGGACCGGAGTCTGTATTTTTTATAATAAAAATATTTTCCGTACAATTTTACGTAATCAAATGTGAAACGTTAGTTATAGTTTTAGAAACTAATGCGACATACTTCAAGATTTAAATTATAGACTGTTCGAACATTTTAGTAAACTAAAAAAACGTGTGCGTTTTCGTTTTTTAAATAGAACGCAGAACGTTTGTTTTTAAGTTGGTGGTTTTTCCGACAAAAACTTGTAAACATATTAATAGAAGTAAATAATTTTGACAAACAAAGTACCAAGATTTCGCCTACGGCAAAAAATAATGACGATAGCGGCCTTCACAGTACGAAACGTAAAAAACAACTTACCGTATTATTATTACATGGAAGAAGACAAATCGCTTAATCATTAAGCCGATGAAATTTATTTTAGAAACGCTATTTAAACAATGTATACTTGTGAAACAACACATTAAAGAAAATTGCGTGCGTCAATACCGATGTTTGAAACGACCCCGGCGACCCTGCTTGTTGGATTGTGACAATTAATCATTATTGAATAAATAGTAAAGAGATTTCCATTATTTTGTATATCGGACCTAATGCTTTGTTTTCGAGGTACAGGGTGTTACAGTTTGAGGAAAAATTAAATGTTTTCACAAAAAAAAAACGATTTCCTTCGATTTTGGCAGTCTTCAAAAAGGTATAAGATTATATGATGAAAACAAAACTTTCGAAATGTTTGATTTCATTTGATAAGATTCTTTTTGAAAAAAATTTGAATTAACTTTACTATCTTTAAAAATAAAGGAAAACATATTACAACTAATAATAGAATATATATATTTTTAAAGAGAAATTTAGTAAAAAAGGGCAAGTATTGGTTCGTTAAAAAAAAACGATTCTAGTCATATTTAGCGCTTTTGCCAGTGTCATTCCGAACTGGTTTTTGTTTTGTTTTTTAAAAGTTTCATTGTTTATTTATAAGAAACAATCCTAATAATCCGGGCGAATTAGACCAAACACATGCCTGTTTCAAAAATCGGGCCTACATCGAATTTTATGAACTTAAAATTAAGAAAAAATGTACAGAATAAAAGCCTAAATTTGTGTATTTGTAGAGGTCGAGCGTCATATTGTTTATAACAAAAGAAAAAAAATAATTGCTCTATTTTCAGTTTTTGGCTTATATCTCCGAAAATAAGCCTCTAATACTTATCGATTTTCATCCTGAGGAAATTTGCTACAAGGATAGGCTTTTGATAAAGCTCGCAAATTTTTTTTAAATTGCAAAATTAGAGGTGAAAAAAAAATGTACAAAATATTCAGCATTAAATAAAAAGAACGAATGTGACTGAAATTAGATGAAACTACAGGAAAAGGTAACTCTATTGGGGTGCTCAACAAATATCCGCAATCTAGACCCCCAATTTCAAAATGGCGGCTTATTGCAAAATTATAAAGTCGAAAACATAAGCGCGTATACCTTTTCAAGAAGTGAGTAAGTAAACGTTCGTTAAAGACAGCTACCGGGATGCTTTTTTTTAAATCAACGTATTTTTTTCCGCTCTTTGGAATAGTGCAAGCAAGTCTGAAAGTCGTCGTCAGATTCCGAAAAATACATTTTTATTGACTTTTCACGTTTTCTTTTGTAATTTCATTGTGCTTTCGTTATTTTGAAAAGTAAGAAGGTCTTTTTGCGTATTTAAAAACAAAAGTAAATTATTTCTATGAGAAAAAAAATGACGAATGAAAATTTACCGTGCTCAGAAGAGGTCGACGTATAAAATATCGTCTTAAAATTAACAGTTACACTTATTGTGTAAATTGTGTTTAGAACTTTATCGAATGTTACAATATCAACATTAATTATAATAATTTTTATAAGAATATTAAAAGTAAAATAAATATTTAATATATAATAAATTTTAGACATCGATGAGTTTTTCAAGTTAATGTTGAATGTGGCAAAATGGCAAAATTCATCGGTCTGAAATATATTATTCATTAAATATTTATTTTATTTTCAATATTCTCATAAAAATTTTAAAAAGGCGACTATTCTTTTATATCGTTTTTTGTAAGTTTTAAGCACATTAGTGTGTATCTATTTTACAAAACACATGTTAGCTGTTCTTAAATACTTCTAAATCCTTGTAAAAAAAAATGAATTTGAAGTTGTTCATTTCTATAGTATCTGTGTAAATAGTGAACAAGGATCAGATTCGATCTGTACAATTTCAACTTTGACAATTTGTTGCGGGTTGCCTAAATACGTGGCGTCACATTAAAAGAGTCCATTTCATTTTTGGACATATCATTTTTAGTTTTAATTTCGAATTATACTTGTTTCCTGCAATATCAGCGGTTGTCTTTAGAAAACAATTTTTGAATTGGCTTAATATCTTTAAAATAGAGCACGATATCACTTTTGGATAAATATAATTCTGACGAAAGGTGTCAATCTTTTGGCATTTGGCACAAAGTATGCCACATAAAGTAAAGTAAACTAAACTCTGTGTAATTGAAAATATTCCTGGCAAGTGCAATGTTAAATCTAAACCAACTTTGGTCTAAGATATTTTCTTTTTAAATCGATAACAAGGCAGCTGTGGAACAATGCCGCTTAGCTGGGACACCCTATACAGGGTGTTCCTAAATAAGTGTCGCAACGAAAACTGTAAATTCCTCTTGAAAAGAGAAAAATATTTTTCCTCTTCCATTTTTTTCTCCGGGCTTTCGTTTTCGAGATACACGGTGTCAAAACTTTTTTTCAGATTTTTGTCAATATCTTAGGAACCATTTGAACTACAGGACTGAGCTTTTGTACATACATTACCGCTATTAATAGCTACTTGTTGCAAATGTTGTTAAATTTCGTTAAAATTGTTAATTATTACTACCTATCTTTAAATCACAAAAGATTTTCGAAACGTTAGCAAAATGTTTGTTTTTGTTCATAAAAAGTCATTTTTCTTGAAAACGGTTGACTTTAGAACAATAAACCAAGAGAACTCTTTTTGTGTAAAATTCATTGGCGCTTCAGAATTTGCTGTCACATGTCAATTTTTCCAGTGGCGTAAAAGTTAGGGGGAAAAAACCCTGACGATACCTTAAAATCTCCACCACTGGCACGTTCAATGAATCCGAGAAGGCTGTGAAACATTAGCTATTAATAGTGGTAATGTGTGTACAAAAACTCAGTCCTGTAGTTCAAACGGTTACTAAGATATTGGCAAAAAATTAAAAAAAAAATTTAAATTGTGACACCGCGTATCTCGAAAACGAAAACCCGGAGAGAAAAATTGAAGAGGAAAAGAATGTTTCTTTTTTCAAGAGGAATTTACAGTTTTCCGTTGCGACACTTATTTAGGAACACCCTGTATATGTGTAATAAAAAAAGTTATAGCTAAATATTTAGTTTTGAGATGTTGCAGGGTCGATAAATCCCATTTTTTTTTTGTTGCCAGGCCTGACCGCTCAGTATAGCGGCAAGAAGATAAAGATATCATCTGAGCTGTTCGCCAGGGGTTGCGTCAACAGTGCCGAAGAGGGCCTCGCGGCGGCCCACAAGATAGGATTCCCCGTCATGATCAAGGCCTCGGAGGGCGGCGGCGGCAAGGGCATCAGGAAAGTCGAGAACCCCGACGATTTCCCTGCCGCCTTCCGACAGGTGAGGAGCTGTCAAACATGTTAATTATTAAATCGACCGTTAATACAGTTTTTATGAGCGTGTTTCCATTTTTAACGGGCCGTACAGTATAAATAAAGGCATTCTGTTCCTCCCCCAGGTGCAGACGGAGATCCCCGGCTCGCCGATCTTCGTGATGAAGCTGGCCAAGTGCGCCAGGCACCTGGAGGTGCAGCTGCTGGCCGACATGTACGGCAACGCCATCTCCCTCTTCGGCAGGGACTGCTCTATCCAGAGGAGGCACCAGAAGATTATCGAAGAGGCGCCGGCCGTCGTAGCCGAGCCGTCCGTGTTCGAGGATATGGAGAGAGCCGCCGTCAGGCTGGCCAAGATGGTGGGGTACGTGTCGGCGGGGACGGTGGAGTATCTCTACGACCCCTCCGGTCAGTACTACTTCCTGGAGCTGAACCCACGGCTTCAGGTGGAACACCCCTGTACGGAGATGGTGTCCGACGTCAACTTGCCAGCCGCTCAATTGCAGGTAGGAAAACGTTATTTCCGAAAATATTAAGTTGCACATTTTTCACTATTCACATCATGCGGTTTTGTTTATTTTAATAGGAATATCAAAAGTTTCTAAAAATCAGGATCATGTCTCGTCGTATTGAAGCAACTGAGGCGGGGCCTCGCCGTAAAATTTGGCTCTCGCACCGTATATTTTAGTACCTATTATTCTACTATTAACATAAATAGACAGTTAGGTAAACTAACTTCCAATTTTTTATAACTGCATCGATTTTTCTCAAAATTTAGAATTAGGCTCATCTTACCCCCACTTCAAAACTTGTATATACGCTAGGTGTGCTTTTTGTTCTTAAGGGGTGAAAACCACCCCTTATTGGAAAAAAAAAGAAAAAATACAAATTTAAGCGTTTTATGTAATCAAATCTTTTTTATTTGTGCGGTATGAGTACTTTCATGTGCTATCTAACATTAAACTTAATGTATCCCAAAATTTCAACCCGGAAAAACCTTTAGAAACCACCCCTTTGGATGAAAACATTTTTTTTCAACTTGAAACTTTTTAGTCATGCATGCGTAGCTAAGGGCTACGTGAACTGTTGAGTTGATCTTTTTTAAGCCCTTCATTTTTAAGTTTGAAGGGTTTAAAGGGCTCGAATAGGGCGGTCCTCTCATTCATATGATAACTTAAAACGGCGATATCTCGATTAATATTAATTTTAGAGGAATACAAATAAGAAGCAAAAATAAAGCTAAATTCTTTTACTTTTGTATTTTTTCGTACACTTTTTAATTTTTAAGTTACAGCGTAAAAATCGATTTTTTTTCAATTTGAAAAATTAACATTTTCAAAAATTAAGTTTTCTTTCAAAATCATGCTTTGTAAGTGAGCCAAAGACCCAGAACATATTCTTAGAACATAAATGAAGAAATCTGTAAATGGATTGCATATAATTTTAATTCTGTTTATTGATTTTTTCTTAAAAAAATGAGACTATCATGTTATTTCGATCATATTTCCGTTAATTTTGATTCTAAAGGCATTTAAAACGGCTCATTTTAAAGGTTTTTCAAAGTACTTTAAAAAAGGTTCAAATCGTTTTTTTCCTAATATTTAAAGTTTTGGGGTTATTTAACGTTAACTTATTCCAATTTAGTTTTTAGCAAACATAATATAATAATGTTTAAAAATATGTTTTCGTTGAGATAACTGAATACTTTCCACCAATTCTATGTTAATATTCTTTATTTAAAAACATAAATCACGCTTAAAGCGTAAAAATACAAATTTGATGTTTTTACAATTGAAACAATTCATTTTTTTTTTCTCGTTAGTAATTTGATTATTACAAATCTGAACAAAATCCATAACTCGGTTTATATTGCAATTAGAGAAAAACAAAATAATGCCATTAGATTTGTTTTTTTATTAACTTTCTTTTTGTTCATTACAACTTTTTCGTTAAATCCAATGGTTTCAGAGTTATTTGCAAAAAACTGTCCGAAAACAAGCACTTTTTCAGTAAAAATTCAACATTTTCAATGACGAATTACTCGGAAAATATTGAATTAGCCAAAAAACTTTATATGACATTTGTTACTTAAAATTGACTCCTCTATCGATTCCTGTGGTTATTTTGGGCGTAAAAATTTCCACCCCCAGGGCAAAAGCGCACTTCGGCACTATATAAGTTTTGTTCCTTGAGGCAATCCCCGCATTCAGTCAAAATTTCACGTCGTTCGGTTCAGTTATAAAGAATTCAGAGGTAAAAACCCTGAGTAACTGGACTACTAGTACATTTATCAAAAATCAAAGTAACAGTATAATATAATTATCGAATATCTCCCCGCTCGCCATTTCCATCGGCGCGGCATTAGATACTGTTACTCCCCACTAGTCCCCACCACAGTGAGGCTAGAATTTCTTCGCTTGTAGGCACGTCACACTTGCCTACGATATACTACAGTTCCCCCTCCACGCGAGGTGGTTAAAATAACGTGATATACCTACTAGGGAACTGAGGCCGGTTCAAAGCTACTTACAGTTTCAGTTCGCGTTGCGTAGTACGCCGGTAATAACTGATGTCAGTGTGAGGGATAGTACACAGGCTTTAAGGATAAGGACAAGGCAGGTATTAATTTAAATTAAATAAAAAACGACTTCCTTACAACAAGACAATGTAAGACTAAATTTAACGTAATTTAATAGATGCCTATTAAATTATCAAATACCTACATAGGTAGGTAATAATGAAACTATCTCACAATATTGTTTTATCTCTTGAAACACCTTTTTCAAGACGTAATGACGTAAACTACTGCTCTCAACAATTAAAATTGCTAGTCAAAGAATTTCTGAATTGAGAAACGAAGAAATATTGAAATATATTTTTAATTATGCGAAATATATTACTGGAGTACTAAGTAAACGGGGCAAAAGTTGCGATGAATTAGAAATATTTTCGAAATATATTTCCCTTTAATTAAGTACCTACTCGTTTTGGGAATTACATGATTTAAATTTTTTTGCATTCCTCAAAATTTCCCGAATATGCAAACAAATTCCCAGAAAAATCGTTTGAATGTTTATTACAAATGTATCCAAACATTTTTGAAATAGATAGGGTGAAAAACGAACTTAATATTTTGTACAGAGGTGAACAATTTCGTAATTTAGAAGTTCAAAAAACGATAGAAATATTATACAAGGAATTTAAAATTGTATTTTCGGAAACATACAAATTGTTTGGCCCAGTTTTAACAATTCCTGCAACAAGTGTCTCGGTGGAAAGAAACTTTTGGTGTCTTAAGCGCATTAAGACTTAGAAATACGATGACACAAGAGCGGTTAAACAACTTATCAGTGATGACGACGGGAAAAGAATTATTGCAAAGTCTTAGTGCCGAACCTCAATTTTATGAAGACGTTATAAATAAAATTTGCAAATTTAAAAGAGGGGCGAATAAACTTGTTTTATAAAAACATTCACTATGTTTTTAGAATATTTTGTTAAATGTGGAAGCTAACGAAAAGCTGGCGGCGTTGTTATATTATATACAGTGTCCAAGATAAGGATGGCGTAACATTAGGATCTAGGAAACGGTAAGAGATACGGGGTGGCTCAGATTTAGAAAAAAGTTGCGTTTTTTTTATACCTAACAATATGCCGTTTAGAAAGTTTTAAAATTCCGGAGAGTTTCGGAGATATTGGAAAATCCCGAAATTTTGCTAAATTGTTTAATTTTTTTTTCTGACATTATTTGAAATCGAATTTTAAAATAGATTGCACATTTACAGTGCCACTTTTATCTCTTTATCCAATGGCGTCAATATTTTTGCAATCCGACATTTTGTCGTCGAGGGGCCATCATCGAGTTAATTTTTTTAAATACGTCGCTGCTATTTTTATGACAAAATCTATTGTCATTTTTAATTCTGAATTAGGGGATATTACTATTGTAATCGCTTAAAAAGTTTTTAGCTTGTTTTAGCTATCATTTAAAATTTTTCCCGAGTACGGCTCTGAACGCTCTCAAAATATCTATGGGAAGAAGTCATAACAGTATAAAAGTCAGTACAGCACAAAATATCCAATAATTTTTTTTACTACTATTAGCAACACTAATTACCTAGAAATGATAAAACATTTCATAAATTCATATTATTTTTTTATTAGAACTTTTTAAAATTATTGATTAAGAAAAATTGTTCGATATTTTGTGTTGTACTGACTTTTATACTTTTATGACTTCCTCCCATAGATATTTTGAGAGCGTTCAGAGCCGTACTCAGGAAAAATTTTTAAAAATCGCTAAAAACCTTTTTAAACTAGTACAATAGTAATATCGTCTAATTCGGAATTAAAAATGACTTTAGATTTTGTCATAAAAATAGCAGCGACGTATTTAAAAAAATTAACCCGATGATGGCCCCTCGAAGACGAAACGTCGGATTGCAAAAATGTTGACTCCATTGGATAGAGCGGAAAAAGTGGCATTGTAAATATGCCATTTTTCAAATTCATTTTCAAATAAAGCCAGAAAAAAAATAAAACGATTTTGCAATATTTCCGGTTTTTTCGGATATCTCCGAAACTACCCGAATTTTAAAACTTTCTAAACGGCATATTGTTAGGTATAAAAAAAACACAACTTCTTTCTAATTTGAGCCATCCCGTATCTCTTACTGTTTCCTAGATCCTAATGCTTATCCCATCATAAATAGATAAGTTGTGTGGCTACCTTATGAAAATTTGTTTTTATATTTTTTAATATCCTTAAAACAATTGAACAATTTTTTATTAGGTAAATATGTATATCACTTTGTTTTTTTTTTCTGTTACTTAATTTTATTGTAAATACAATTTTTAAAGTTCTGATATTATTAATAACATAATTTTTTAATTTACGCTTATAGTAGGAGTATTGGCGAAGATCTCCACAATAAAAAATGACGTAAAATTTATTCCTATTTATTATTTGAGGCAGATTAATAAAATATCCAAATAGTTGCATATCATTTTCTATAAAATCGGAATGAAAATCCTGCTCGTGAACATAAATGCAACTAAAAATTTCCAGGTGCATTTAGTCGTTTCACCTTGAAAATTTAAANTATTTTGTACAGAGGTGAACAATTTCGTAATTTAGAAGTTCAAAAAACGATAGAAATATTATACAAGGAATTTAAAATTGTATTTTCGGAAACATACAAATTGTTTGGCCCAGTTTTAACAATTCCTGCAACAAGTGTCTCGGTGGAAAGAAACTTTTGGTGTCTTAAGCGCATTAAGACTTAGAAATACGATGACACAAGAGCGGTTAAACAACTTATCAGTGATGACGACGGGAAAAGAATTATTGCAAAGTCTTAGTGCCGAACCTCAATTTTATGAAGACGTTATAAATAAAATTTGCAAATTTAAAAGAGGGGCGAATAAACTTGTTTTATAAAAACATTCACTATGTTTTTAGAATATTTTGTAAAATGTGGAAGCTAACGAAAAGCTGGCGGCGTTGTTATATTATATACAGTGTCCAAGATAAGGATGGCGTAACATTAGGATCTAGGAAACGGTAAGAGATACGGGGTGGCTCAGATTTAGAAAAAAGTTGCGTTTTTTTTATACCTAACAATATGCCGTTTAGAAAGTTTTAAAATTCCGGAGAGTTTCGGAGATATTGGAAAATCCCGAAATTTTGCTAAATTGTTTAATTTTTTTTTCTGACATTATTTGAAATCGAATTTTAAAATAGATTGCACATTTACAGTGCCACTTTTATCTCTTTATCCAATGGCGTCAATATTTTTGCAATCCGACATTTTGTCGTCGAGGGGCCATCATCGAGTTAATTTTTTTAAATACGTCGCTGCTATTTTTATGACAAAATCTATTGTCATTTTTAATTCTGAATTAGGGGATATTACTATTGTAATCGCTTAAAAAGTTTTTAGCTTGTTTTAGCTATCATTTAAAATTTTTCCCGAGTACGGCTCTGAACGCTCTCAAAATATCTATGGGAAGAAGTCATAACAGTATAAAAGTCAGTACAGCACAAAATATCCAATAATTTTTTTTACTACTATTAGCAACACTAATTACCTAGAAATGATAAAACATTTCATAAATTCATATTATTTTTTTATTAGAACTTTTTAAAATTATTGATTAAGAAAAATTGTTCGATATTTTGTGTTGTACTGACTTTTATACTTTTATGACTTCCTCCCATAGATATTTTGAGAGCGTTCAGAGCCGTACTCAGGAAAAATTTTTAAAAATCGCTAAAAACCTTTTTAAACTAGTACAATAGTAATATCGTCTAATTCGGAATTAAAAATGACTTTAGATTTTGTCATAAAAATAGCAGCGACGTATTTAAAAAAATTAACCCGATGATGGCCCCTCGAAGACGAAACGTCGGATTGCAAAAATGTTGACTCCATTGGATAGAGCGGAAAAAGTGGCATTGTAAATATGCCATTTTTCAAATTCATTTTCAAATAAAGCCAGAAAAAAAATAAAACGATTTTGCAATATTTCCGGTTTTTTCGGATATCTCCGAAACTACCCNACTACCAGAATACAGTGCGTATGCAGCGGTATGTCAGATTTTACATTGAATTTCATTTTAAATTTGAAATGATTTATCTTACGCCTCCTAAAAATGATGACACGATTTTCCTTTGATAAAAGGCCGACAATTTTTTGCTCTACTTTGCATCGTATACGATCCTACTATAGGAAACGGTAAGAGATACGGGGTGGCTCAGATTAGAAAAAAGTTGCGTTTTTTTATACCTAACAATATGCCGTTTAGAAAGTTTTAAAATTCCGGAGAGTTTCGGAGATATTGGAAAATCCCTAAATTTTGCAAAATTGTTTAATTTTTTTTCTCGCATTATTTGAAATCGAATTTTAAAATAGATTGCATATTTACAGTGCCACTTTTATCGCTTTATCCAATGGCGTCAACATTTATGCAATCCGACATTTTGTCTTCAAGGGGCCATCATCGGGTTAATTTTTTTAAATACGTCGCTGCCATTTTTATGACAAAATCAAAAGTCATTTTTAATTCTGAATTAGAGGATATTACTATTGTAATCGCTTAAAAAGTGTTTAGCTTGTTTTAGCTATCATTTAAAATTTTTCCCGAGTACGGCTCTGAACGCTCTCAAAATGTCTATGGGAAGAAGTCATAACAGTATAAAAGTCAGTACAGCACAAAATATCCAATAATTTTTTTTATTACTATTAGCAATACTAATTACCTAGAAATGATAAAACATTTCATAAATTCATATTACTTTTTTATTAGATAGACCTTTTTAAAATTATTGATTAAGAAAAATTGTTGGATATTTTGTGCTGTACTGACTTTTATACTGTTATGATTTCCTCCCATATATATTTTGAGAGCGTTCAGAGCCGTACTCAGGAAAAATTTTTAAAAATCGCTAAAAACCTTTTTAAACTATTACAATAGTAATATCGTCTAATTCGGAATTAAAAATGACTTTAGATTTTGTCATAAAAATAGCAGCGACGTATTTAAAAAAATTGACCTGATGATGGCCCCTCGAAGACGAAACGTCGGATTGCAAAAATGTTGACTCCATTGGATAGAGCGGAAAAAGTGGCATTGTAAATATGTAATTTATTTTAAAATTCATATTCAAATAAAGCCAGAAAAAAAATAAAACGATTTTGCAAAATTTCCGTTTTTTTCGGATATCCGAAACTGCCCGAATTTTAAAACTTTCTAAACGGCATATTGTTAGATATAAAAAAAAACACAACTTCTTTCTAATTTGAGCCACCCCGTATCTCTTACCGTTTCCTAGATCCTAATGCTTAACCCATCATAAATAGATAAGTTGGGTGGGGCTACCTTATGAAAATTTGTTTTTATATTTTTTAATATCCTTAAACCAATTGAACAATTTTTTTATTAGGGAAATATGTATATCACTTTGTTTTTTTTTCTGTTACTTAATTTTATTGTAAATACAATTTTTAAAGTTCTGATATTATTAATAACATAATTTTTTAATTTATGCTTATAGTAGGACTATTGGCGAAGATCTCCACAATAAAAAATGACGTGAAATTTATTCCTATTTATTATTTGAGGCAGATTAATAAAATATCCAAATAGTTGCATATCATTTTCTATAAAATCGGAATGAAAATCCTGCTCGTGAACATAAATGCAACTAAAAATTTCCAGGTGCATTTAGTCGTTTCACCTTGAAAATTAAAAACTTTTCCTGTGGCGCTTTTTTCATTTCTTACCCACATAGTAAAAAAACCACGGGACTCACATATGCACAATGTCACGAGCCGCCACTGCCATCAATCGAACTTAAAAATAATTGGACATTATTAGTAAAATATCATTTAAAGGACTGAGATAAGATGGAATTAATTGTGAATAAAAAAATAAAACAAAATGTGTAACCACTAAATGACAAAATACTAATAATACAAATAGAAGTATAAACATTACAAAAAAAGTATTTTCTTAAGAGATGAAAACATTTCTGCAGGATTCTGTTTGTGTCAAATTTAAATTTCTAACTCGCCCCTTGCTCAGCAGAATGAATATTCATTTTGCATCAGAGGAAGTACTTCTAAAGATAAAATGCCATATTTAATTTTGAAAATTTTGAAAATTTTTATACTGGGTGTTATGCTCAGTGGCCGGATATACAAGAATTTAAAAGGGCTCTATAGCAATTTGCCACTTTTGAGCAATGGCATCGTAAATTACAGATTTCTTTACACCAAAAAGTAATTTGTGTTTCAAACTAACTCCATTTTATAGAAAATCTGCGTTGGAATGGGGGAAAGTCTGTTATTTGTGCATTAGTTCATATCTAGACAAACTATGTCATAAAATCTATAAAAATTTATAGCCGATTACCTATTTGCTGTAGAGCCCTCTTAAGAGCAGTTTATAAGTGAATTTGTGAGCAACTATTTATTTGATCAAAAAAATAACTTTAGATCGGTATTCTAGGGGAACACATACTAAATTGCCCCTAAAAAATGGACCCCGACTTAAAATTACTCCCCGTATAAGCATGATAATTCACAATGAAAACTGCTTGAGCGTTAATGTTTCGCGATAATATTTTCAGGGCATAGAGAGGCGAAGCCAAATCCTGCTCTAAATAATCAAATCAATGTGGACTGTCGTAATTAGTAAAAAAAATTCTGTTTTTTATAAAAAAATTAGTGTTGGTGTCTGGTTTTTATTTTTTCTTTATTTAATCGTTTGCCATCATCAGATTGCCATGGGTCTTCCCCTGCACTACATCAAGGACATCAGATTGCTGTACGGGGAGTCCCCCTGGGGCATGACGGAAATAGATTTCGACCAACCGAGGCACAAGCCGCAGCCCTGGGGCCACGTCATCGCCGCCAGAATTACCTCCGAGAACCCCGACGAAGGTAAGTCTTTCCTACTCTGATAAAAAGCTGTGTACCGTCGCGGTTTTTGGCTTGAAATAACCTAACCTAGCGATTTCTGTGTAGGATTTAAGCCCAGCTCCGGTACCGTGCAAGAACTGAACTTCCGATCCTCCAAGAACGTGTGGGGGTACTTCTCGGTGGCCGCTTCGGGGGGCCTGCACGAGTTCGCCGACTCCCAGTTCGGGCACTGCTTCTCGTGGGGAGAAAACCGGGAACAGGCCAGAGAGAATCTCGTCATAGCTCTGAAGGAGCTGTCCATCCGCGGTGACTTTAGGACGACGGTGGAGTACCTGATAACGCTCCTGGAAACGAAAACTTTTCAGGTAATTCAATTCGTTTTGCACTTTTTACGTTTTATTTTACGGAACCTTTACAGGAAAACACGATCGACACGGCTTGGTTGGACATACTCATTTCCGAACGGATGCAGTCGGAAAAACCCGACATCATGTTGGGCGTTATGTGCGGGTCCCTCCACATAGCCGACAAAACCACCACCACGGCCTTCCAGGAGTTCCAGAACTCGTTGGAGAGGGGCCAGATCCAGGGCTCCAACACGCTGACGAACGTCGTGGAAGTGGAACTGATAAACGACGGGTAAGCGTCGATCAAAACCTGCGGAACGTCTCGTAATGAAAATATTTTATCACTTTCAGCAACAAATACAAAGTGCAGGCGACGAAGAGCGGCCCCAACACTTATTTCTTGCAAATGAACGGTTCGTTTAAGGAGATCGAAGTCCACAGGCTCAACGACGGAGGTATCGTACGGAAACCGAAATATTTCTTCAAATATCACGAAACGTTATTTTTTATCAGGGATTTTACTATCGGTGGACGGAGCGTCGTTCACGACGTACATGAAGGAGGAAGTGGACCGGTACCGTATCGTGATAGGCAACCAGACCTGCGTGTTCGAGAAGGAAAACGACCCCACGATACTGCGCTCGCCTTCCGCCGGCAAACTCATCAGTTACGTGGTAGAGGATGGAGGTCACATCGCCAAGGGGCAGGCTTTCGCTGAAATAGAGGTAGGCGCAAAAAAAAAAAAGTCGAAACGGCTCGCCGTTTTCCCCGAAATAATATTTTCATTGCGGATACGAAAATTTCGTGTCTTTTTTTAAGGTTATGAAAATGGTCATGACGCTCACCGCCAACGAATCGGGAATGGTGACGTACGTGAAACGCCCCGGCGCCGTCCTGGACGCCGGCTCCATCATCGCCACTCTGGAACTGGACGATCCTTCTCTAGTCACCAAAGCCATCCCGTACAAGGGACCGTTCCCCGAACTGGACGTATCCCAGCCCATCATACCAGAAAAACTCAATCACGTCCACAACAGCTACCGCATAGCCTTAGAGAACACTCTGGCGGGTAGACGACACTTCCAATCGGACCCCGTAGCGGTTCTATATCGTGTTTGTTTTTCTAGGCTACTGCCTGCCGGATCCTTACAACGCGCCCCGTTTGAGGGAAGTGATAGAGAAATTCATGTCGTCCCTGAGGGATCCCAGCCTTCCCCTTCTGGAGCTGCAGGAGGTGATGGCTACGATTTCGGGACGGATACCGGCCGCCGTCGAGAAAAAGATCCGCAAACTGATGTCGTTGTACGAGAGGAACATCACCTCGGTGTTGGCGCAGTTTCCGAGTCAACAGGTAAGTCCTTTGGTATTGTTTTAATTCCTCTTCGGACGTCGGCGATGTCACTACGAATTTTGAAGTAGTTTACGCACGTTTACATGCGGTGTGGTTTTTTATGAAAAAATTTGTAAAAAAAAGTATACGCGATTTTTTTTTTTTTTTTGATTAACGGAACGGAACTTTACTCTGACGTTTATGACGAGCATAGATCGACTATGCATTGTTGCCAAAGTTAAACAAAATTCTTAAGCCTTTAAGTTTTTATACGGAATAGGAAGAATATAGTTAAAGAAATATATTTCTGGAGGGTACAACATCGGAAACTTTGAAATGTTTTTTAGGCTGGTGCCAAAAAAAAAAAAAATTAATGGGGCTGGTGTTTAGGTGTTGAAAATAAATTTTTGCGAATTTTGGCAAAATATGACTTCCTAGCGTAAAGTATTCTACACAACAGTTGTAGATAATAAAACAAATGAAAAACTTTTATACAGGATATTTTTCAACATAACCTCAAATTTTAAGAGAAAATCGCGGAAAACCTATTTTATTGTTTTTATTTTTTTCCTCTAGCAAAAATAATGCAATTTACATGAAACTTTGTGAAAGTGTACCTTTTTTTATACTAAATAATCATGATTTTTTCGGAAATTGGAAAACGTGTAGTTTTGGAGGTAACGGTTTTCTAAAAAAGTACACAATTTTCCATGAAGAATTGTCTTGATTTTTTTTTCGATTTTAATTGGTGATGGGCATAATCGAGCAATTTTCATAATCGAGTTATCGGTATTCAAGTACTTCTAATAATCGAGTGATCGCTCGAGATACGAGATAATTGGTCGTTTTCATCCCATCGGAGCATACATATGTTTGCATTAGTCATATATTAGTTATAAGCGTAGTTAACCCTTTCGCTGCGCAATACGTCTGAACGTAGCTACCACGTCGTGCGAGAAAGTTTATCGCGTGCGAATATATACGTCTGGAGCAGTTAGACCACTTATAGTTTTACATTATGTTGTGTTAAATTACGATTTACGATAAATTTTACGATTTTATTTTGAATAAAATACAGTTGTTTCGAAATGGACTGTATTTTTTTTTACAACTGGTTCGTTGGCATATGATTCTAATTGTCGGCACAAAAAAATAATTGAGAATATGAAATATAAACAAAATGCGATCGGTGGTTTTCTTACCTTGAAACTAGGCGTCTTCTTACAGGAATTTTCACACCCTCGCACTTATATCGCAGGCTGATACCGGCCGGTTTCGTAATGGAAAACACCAGAGGTTTTTGATAGCGGAATAATAGCGAACACAAGAGAGCGTATGGGTTCAAAGAGAGTCACCATTCAAGTCCATTATTTCGANTTTTTTTTTTTTTTTTTTTTTTTTTTTTTTTTTTTTTTTTTTTTTTTTTTTTTTTTTTTTTTTTTTTTTTTTTTTTTTTTTTTTTTTTTTTTTTTTTTTTTTTTTTTTTTTTTTTTTTTTTTTTTTTTTTTTTTTTTTTTTTTTTTTTTTTTTTTTTTTTTTTTTTTTTTTTTTTTTTTTTTTTTTTTTTTTTTTTTTTTTTTTTTTTTTTTTTTTTTTTTTTTTTTTTTTTTTTTTTTTTTTTTTTTTTTTTTTTTTTTTTTTTTTTTTTTTTTTTTTTTTTTTTTTTTTTTTTTTTTTTTTTTTTTTTTTTTTTTTTTTTTTTTTTTTTTTTTTTTTTTTTTTTTTTTTTTTTTTTTTTTTTTTTTTTTTTTTTTTTTTTTTTTTTTTTTTTTTTTTTTTTTTTTTTTTTTTTTTTTTTTTTTTTTTTTTTTTTTTTTTTTTTTTTTTTTTTTTTTTTTTTTTTTTTTTTTTTTTTTTTTTTTTTTTTTTTTTTTTTTTTTTTTTTTTTTTTTTTTTTTTTTTTTTTTTTTTTTTTTTTTTTTTTTTTTTTTTTTTTTTTTTTTTTTTTTTTTTTTTTTTTTTTTTTTTTTTTTTTTTTTTTTTTTTTTTTTTTTTTTTTTTTTTTTTTTTTTTTTTTTTTTTTTTTTTTTTTTTTTTTTTTTTTTTTTTTTTTTTTTTTTTTTTTTTTTTTTTTTTTTTTTTTTTTTTTTTTTTTTTTTTTTTTTTTTTTTTTTTTTTTTTTTTTTTTTTTTTTTTTTTTTTTTTTTTTTTTTTTTTTTTTTTTTTTTTTTTTTTTTTTTTTTTTTTTTTTTTTTTTTTTTTTTTTTTTTTTTTTTTTTTTTTTTTTTTTTTTTTTTTTTTTTTTTTTTTTTTTTTTTTTTTTTTTTTTTTTTTTTTTTTTTTTTTTTTTTTTTTTTTTTTTTTTTTTTTTTTTTTTTTTTTTTTTTTTTTTTTTTTTTTTTTTTTTTTTTTTTTTTTTTTTTTTTTTTTTTTTTTTTTTTTTTTTTTTTTTTTTTTTTTTTTTTTTTTTTTTTTTTTTTTTTTTTTTTTTTTTTTTTTTTTTTTTTTTTTTTTTTTTTTTTTTTTTTTTTTTTTTTTTTTTTTTTTTTTTTTTTTTTTTTTTTTTTTTTTTTTTTTTTTTTTTTTTTTTTTTTTTTTTTTTTTTTTTTTTTTTTTTTTTTTTTTTTTTTTTTTTTTTTTTTTTTTTTTTTTTTTTTTTTTTTTTTTTTTTTTTTTTTTTTTTTTTTTTTTTTTTTTTTTTTTTTTTTTTTTTTTTTTTTTTTTTTTTTTTTTTTTTTTTTTTTTTTTTTTTTTTTTTTTTTTTTTTTTTTTTTTTTTTTTTTTTTTTTTTTTTTTTTTTTTTTTTTTTTTTTTTTTTTCTTTTCAAGAAGGTTTTGGCCTGCTCCTGCACTTGCCGTTCCTATTTTCAATAAACTATTTTCTAAGCTTTTTCTGTGAGATCGACACCTTACAAAACCTAATTTCTACAATTTTTCTTTAAATTTCCTCACATTTTGCAACACTTTTATGTCGAATTTGAAACTCTCCGTTGTATCAAGGGCACCACTATATCTAGGCAGAGATATTGAAATTTATTCGGTGGATATTAAATAACAATTGTAATGCAAAAATAGTTAAAATCTAAAATTTTACAACTCTGACTACAACAGGTCTACTGGAAAATTTAACTACTACTTGGACCTTTTTTTTTTCAAACACAAGAGTAGCAAAAATCTAGTAGTAACAATATTATCGTTTAGTCAGCAGTGATTTCCTCGAAAAAGATTAGTTATATCAAAAACATATAAAGAGCTAAAATTCAAGATCATTACATTATTGCAATATTAGATGGTGAAAATACATTTTAAAATTTTCCACCGTAAATAGTCAATAAAATTTGAAAATATGTGTGCATTAAACTCTTCATCAGTCAATATCTGGGAAACGGTTGGTCTGAGAGATTTCGACCAAGTACACCATTTTTGCTTTAAATTTATAGGGGAATAAACGTGCTAATATGAAACGTCAGTGTACAGGGTAGTAAAAAAGTTAGGACCAATTTAATTCAAGCGTACTCTTATAGGTGGCGCCCTCTACAAGCAGCGTCATTAGCAATGACGTATTTAAATTTAGCATCCTAAAAAACCCCCGGACCAAGTTTTATGCCAAAATTCAAATCTGTTTGTAAATTATTCCTAAAAAATCGAAAAAAATAAAAAACTAACATCCTGTACATCGAAAACTACTCACGTTTACAGGAAAAAAAAGTCTTATTTTGACCTCAAAAATACGTTCCTAAATTCTTCGTGTAACCTGAGGGGTTATTTCTTTAATTATCTACCTTTAATTACTTATCTATTTAATTCTCGAAAGAGTTACTACTTAATTCTCGAAAGGTAGTTTATTTAATTATCGTTATACATTAATTAACACGTGGGAACTTAGAAATGTTGTATGCTCAGAGAATCAATTCCAAGCACTTACCATTCATCGCTTATGTGGAATGTAATCTAGTGGCTGACTATATAGGGCAGGGGTCGGCAAGTAATTTTAGGTGGGGTCCGGATACTTTTGAAAATTTTTAACGAGGTCCAGAAAAAAATTCATATTTCTTATTTTTTATTTTAATTTGGACTCAAATTTAATCTGCTTACTAACCATTAAGAACTCAAAACACTCACACAATTGTAAAATACTAGAAAAAATGATAACATTGGCACTTAAACGTAAAAAACATTTTTTAAATAATTTATTTGAGTAATTTATACTTTCAAAAAATTTTTGGCGGTCCAGTATTTTACCTTCCGCGGTCCGGACCTGGACCGCGGTCCGCCAGTTGCCGACCCTTGGT